ACTGTATTTAACTTGTAGGAAGAGGGGTTTTCTTGGCATTCGGATTTCCGCACCCTCCCGTCAGCAGAAATCCGTTTTAGTTTAAATTATTTTTCATTTCCGTGCTTTCCTTCTTTTTCCCCTGGCCTTGAGACTTTTTTCCTGGATTGCTATTCAACTGTCGACGTTCGCCGGCTGTTTTTGAATGCTCGGGTTTCCTTGCCCACTGATTCGCTTTGGCTCCGTAGCCGTGTGCTTGAGTTTGCTGTAGTCTTGGCGTACCAAATTGGTTTCGCTGTTGATATTGGCGTCTTCTTTCGACGTCCGCCGTTCTTCTACTTTCAAACTGGATTGCTAGCTCAAATAACTTTTCCAGTGTAGTCGGATTTCTTAATTCAATAAAGTCTTGCACTTGGGGCAGTAAACCTCGGCAAAATCACTTGAAATTATTTCAGGATCCGGACGGTTTCCATACAAGAGTTTTGAAACGTGAATTTTTCTTAAAATAAAGCTCGAGAGGTTTTCGATTCTTTGTTGATATATACTGAAAAGTTCCGTTTCTAATTTCGCACGATCCCTTACAACAGGGAAGGCTCTTAGTATTGCAGTCTTGAAATTTTCGTAAGTATAGGTGGGACTTCCTGCTTGACCCAAGAGACTTCTGCCTATACATTTGAACCAGTTAAGCGCTTGGCCCCTCAAAGCGCTGGTAGCTAAGGTAACTTTTTGAAACTCGTGCACGGGATAGAGCATGAAGTGGTCATCAAATTTTTCCAAAAATCTGGTTACCGGTGAGTTTCCAATAAATGTTGCTTCTGGTTTCATCGAAGCGCGCATGGTCTGGACGATGTAACCAAATCCTTCCAGGGCGGCAGCTGGCATTTCTGGATTCTAAGCCGTTTCTGCAGGCAGCACAGGTTTCTTCTTGAAACTCGGCCATGGTTATTCTTCTTCGTTGGGCGCCACTATCAGGTCAATGTTCCTTCTTACCTTCTTCGGGAAACATACAAGTACCTGACTCGGAACAGAGAGCTTACTAAAGCTATGTTCACTAATTGTGGTAAGTAGACAGGATACACACGAAGGGTATACAAAACCCTTTATTTTTCTCTATATACAATAACTTCCGTACTTCGGAATACACTGACCCGCTAACTTGGGGGCTAACGTAAAAAGTATAAAAAATAAAACTAAACTCTAATTTAACTTAAAACTAATAACGTGGAAGATTGGCCTTATATTAAAAGGAAGCGTATGTAGTACAGAAAACTGTGAACACTACAATACGTTTAAAATTTATCAAGAGGATTAAAAACCTCTGGCCTGGAAGGCAAACAGCAACTGCGTAACGTTCTAAGGTAAGCGGCCTGCTTTGACTCAACTGCTTCCTCTCTCTCGCTTGGCAAAAGGCCACAACTTAAATACTTGGCGTTCGCCAGACAAACTTTGCATAAAAACCTTAACTTTATAATTCTGGCCGGAAGTAGAAAATAAGAAGTGATAGTAAAGATTTAAAATAAAATAAACGTTAGTAAAATTTAAGATCCTTACATCTTGTCTTCAAGAAGCTGTTTGGTAAGCAGAATCTATTCACATATCAGCTATTTCTTGAATTATACGTAGTTTCAATCGAAAAGTAGTCTTCGTTACATGAATTTTGCTGCCTAGAATGATTCTTGTGGTGAACACAACGAAAAGCACGAAATTTCAAAGTTGCTGTTTTTGAAATACTGTTATTAAATGTGGAAAAAGTTATACTCTTTAAGAAAACTGTGTTAGACTTATAAGTAATATTTCTTTTTGTGGATCTTACCTTAATTTTTATGTGGTTTCAGTCATAGGGATAAATATCATAATAAAGCATAAAACCACGTTTCAGCGGAAGCAGGTATAAAACGTTTAGCTTCGTAATTTTCATATGCAGTCGACGATATGAAATCCGACTTAGGTTCCCGAATCGAAGCCATTTTTAATCGAATGTTTTTTACAATTTACACTTTAATCAAATTTTTTAAGATTTACAAGCACAGAACTAGAAGTTTTAAACTATTTTAACACGTATACGTTTTTGAACTAAGTGGCCCAAACTTCTTTTATGTAATTTGAATTTTCAGTGAACAGTAAAAATTGTAGCTATTAAAATGCGTCATGTTTTGTGCAAGCGTTTTTTACTCCAGTTATTCAATTTCATAATCATGTAAAGTATTTAACAATGCTATTACACATCTTGTCTATCACGAATATAAACGCAAAGCAGGAAAATTAATTAAAAACATCTCTTTGTGCGTTTGGAAATCACAGTTAATCATATATTAAAATATATCTTATGGTGACATCGAGATCGGGATTTTCTTTTCTAGGTTTCTAAGAAATGTATGTGGAAAAAAAAAGATGGAAGAATTGCAAAAAAAAAAAAATCCTTTGGTAATTTAAGATAATTAAACATTACAAAGATCCTTTGGTTATTTAAGATAATTAAAAAATCCTTTGGCTATTTTAGGGTAATTAAACATTACAAAGATTCATTATGATGTTAATTGATATATACAATCTTTGAAATATTTTAATATAAGTTTCATTCATATTAAAAAGTGGTTGCTAACCTTGTTACGTTTCGCTTAAATATTTAACAAGTAGATCACATGTTTATGGTGAAAAGAAGCCAATATTAATAATCTTTGCGTCATCAGTTTTTACGCATTTTGTTTAATCCGACATAATTAAAGACCGGATATTATGTAGTTTAGATTTGAAGACTGATACATTGGCTTATGTTCTGTAAATATGATGCCTTGTATGCCGCAAGCAGAATCGCATTCCTCTAAACGTTTCCCACGAAAGTATTTCGCTAAAAAGGAAATAATATTGCTTTGTTTTGTTGCAATAATTCTTGGTGTATTCAAAATCAAATTTGACACTATAACATAGTAGTAACCGTTTTTAACATTACAGTAACCATTTGAACTCAAGATAGATTGCAATATCATTTTACTGTCCCTAAAAACCAAGAACTAACTTGTTGATGCTGGAAACTACAAATATGCTAATCATTTAATCATTTCAGTACTGAGAGCATAGAACAGTGTGAAGCACACGAGTGACCGATATTGCACCCGCAGAGTAACGATACCACTCAAGACACAGAATCTTGTGCAGGTTTCGAGCATCATCATATCGTTTGGAGAAATTGCTAATGCAACATTTGACAGACGGATTTAATAGTCGATAACGCATTTTCATACATATAGAAAATATTGTTGATAAAGAATAAAACATCTCTGGAAGTAACTTGTAGGCTCTGCATTTATTAAACGTATCTTAGATATTACCAGCTAAATATTTTCTTGATATATTCCATATTAAGCAGGGACACAATTTTCATTCTATTGAATATATCTCATTTTTGAAAATCTTTTCTCCCATAAGAATATTTTGAAAAACCTGCCTAAATATGATTGATATGCTCATGCTATATTTCAGTGTGATGTTTTCGAAAACCTAATGGGAAAAATAGATTTTTACTATGAAATATGGTTCCACAGAGATTATGTTTTGAAATAGATTTACATTCGCTATGCGAAGAAAATATTCTCGATAAAATGCTACGTTTACCAGTGATGAGAACGCAAAATTTTAAATAAAAGTAAAGTTTAACATTTTCTGAAAGTATACTTGCGAAGGCATATTTTGTTAGCTTCTTTTTAAACTTATTTTTAAAAGCTTGAATAAAATATAACAATTCCGTACTTGAATATAAACTGCCATGTATTTTCTTCATGGAAGCAGACTGAAAACTATGAGGAAGTTTTTCAAGTAAACGCAAAATTTAATAAAAATGCAAATAGAATACGTACTTAATTACTGAAAAATATTCAGCAAATAGCGAAAAGATAGGTATGTTTGCCGAGTTTATGACTTAAAGACCTTGTTTTTAGCTTTAACATTAGCCTTCTGTCGCAAGTTAGGTTACATATTCCAAGGAAAGCAGATTTCTCTCAAATAGTAATATAGAGAAATGTGGCTGCAAAGAGCCACAAACTATACACAGGTGATAAACAGGAAAAAAAAAAAATCTGAACTGTTTCAGATTTTAAATTACGTCCAAAGGGGCGTTTTTTTAACGTTTTAAGTGTGACCTTTATTTATTAAATATCATGTTCTTTGCAATTAAACCATAAAATTCAGTTCAAGAGCAATATCGCAAAATAATGTTAAATTAAGCATATCTTTAAAATTTCCGATATACACAGTCTCGCGAGCTGGAGATAAAAGTATTTTTTTTCTATATAACTTTGCCATTTCTCGCTTTTAAAGCATTGAGTTTGTAAATCAAAAATTCGTTAAAGTTTTACAAAATATAAAATCTATAATAAAACAAATTCCAAATTTGGGATTTGAGACGCCCATATTCGCAGTAGGATTTCGTCATTCAAAATTCGATGGCTCTATGTACCATTGTTTTATCACAATGCGAGAAATAGACAATCATTTATGCAGATTTTTCATTCATTTTTAATTTCTTCAAATATAATGCAGGACTCTAACATTTTGTGGCAACAGTTTGAAAAGTGAACCGACGTTTATGAGTCAACGCAAAATGCCAAAACGAAAGCAATAGTCCTTCGGGACTGAAATCCCTTTGGACTAATAATGACTCAGTCAAAATTTTAATGCACTTCCTTTTTATTAGTAAATGCAGGCATTATTTTAGTAAAGTAATGAAAGAACCGTAACTAATTAATATAAATTAAATTAATCAAAATCTTTCATAAGTATGTTTACAGGAAACAAAATTTGAAAGGCACCTGAGAAAGAACTGCAAAAGTACCTATAATAACCTAATGAAACAGAATTGCATCTATAATACTCTAGGAGATTAAAAGTCATTAAATTTTTCACGCAGTTATTACTAGACATTTAAAACAAAAATATACCTTCTTACCAAGTTTGTAAGAACGTTTTAAAATAATGAGCATTATGCTATAATCAAAATGACAAAAAGTCAAAGGAATTTTACTTACCTTTCAAATGCTGTGAGAAAATAAAGCTATATCTGCCGTATTTACTGTAAGTTTACATATCTTCTTGAATCCATCTAGAACAAAAGAAAAAAAAATCTCGATTATTTCAAAACATTAATATTTTGAAGTCTCAAAATATATTATATAAGTATGTGAAAATTTTCGAAAACAATCTTTTGAGAATTATTTAAGATATCATTGATTACTACTGCATCTTACAAAAGTGACAATACTCGATTAATTTGATTTTTGTCCAAATGATTTTTTTATTAAGTTTCCTCTGTTAAATTAATAATCGGAAAAAGTTAATGATATACAAAGACAGATATCAACAGGAGAAAATTTTGGTGTGTTTCAGAAGAAGAAGTAATTGAATTTCATTCAGAAAGATGCATTTACCTGGAAACACACTGATGGATTTGAATTTAAGAAATATTTTCGTTATTAGTAATTATTAATTAATTAAATTCATTAGCGGTGCTTGACGCGTTATATATATTTTTAGAAATAACTGTGCAAAGTTATCAGTCTAAAGATTTTCTTATTTTTGGAAGGGTCCACGGTCCAACTTTGTGTCTTGTGTTTCTTAGTATTGTAACGAAATGTACAGGCGGTAAGATGGCTTCCCCGCATAACTGTTTTAGGTTTGCCATAAAATGCCAAGGGAAGGCAGGGTTGCCACAGTTGGCGAGAAATCGCCCATTTGGCGACAAATGTGGCGATATGCTATGGACGGATGGAGAACCTTCTGGAACGAATTCTTACCGGTTTAGCCGAGGAAGTTCTCGAACACAAACCGAAAACTATATAAACTCTGCTGGTCCGCAGTCAGTTAGTGTGTGTGCCTCGTCTAGAGTGCGAGTTAGTTAGTATCGAGTTTGTGTCTCGTCTAGCAAGTCAATCCCTGAGGAGTCGATCGAGTTGACAGCCGGCCTGCGAGTGCCGAGTGGGTCGTCGAGGGCCGAAGAGTCTCTATGTGCATCACGAGTGTACGAGTTCGTGGAGAGTCTCGAGGGTACGTGGAGTTCCGAGAACGACCAAACAGAGTCGGGAGCTGTACTCCGGAAAGCAGAGTCGGGTGCTTTGCAGGAAGCTGTCTCCACGGTTATTGCCTGACAGTGTGAAAGCTGTGTCGCTGATTGTTCCAGCGTGTTTATAGTAGTTCTTCGACGACTGTAAAACGTGTTTTGGAGCTATCCTGACAATACTGGTGAATAAAGGTGTTTCGATACTTCATCAAGCGTCGTCGTTATGCACTCCAAATCTACAAACCCCGTACGAACGTGAAGGAAGAAAATAACGTAACAACTGTTGTGAGGAGGAGAAAGACGCAACAGTATATTTATTCTAACATTCAGTCTTTCCAGGATACGAAAGCGATGAGAAATTTATAAGAGCTTCTTCTATCCTAAAAGATAAAATAAAGAAGACAAATGGAAAAACCCTGTTTTGCATCCCGGCGAGGGTAGAATTGGATATACAAGTTTCCTTCCCTCGAAAATCCAAATGATATCTGCTCTAAAATATAGTGGATAATAATTCGTCACTATCTGAATTTGATCGATTGTCTCTCCTGCCAGTTCATGTCATCACTTAAAGGACGCAAAATAAAAGAAGTTGTATAGGATATATGTATATGGTTTTGTACATAGAAAGATGATTTTAGTGCAATTATATGTAAAATTATTCGTATGTTTCTGTATAATATAACATGAGAATCTAGAGAAACGATGCTCTACTGCAAAAATAAGGATACAAGAGAAAATCTATTAACATTATGTAAATGGCTATCTCACTAATTTGGCGAGATAGAGCCATGCTGCAACGTATGTCGCGACCATCTGGCGACATTTTGGATTTTGGTCCAGTCTGTGTGTAACTGAATAACTAACTGTAGTTGATGCTGTGGAATTGTAACCGTATTCGGCCTTCATATACCTTGGAGTAACTTGGAGAAACAGAAAATACTAGAAATATCTCGGCGGATGGTTATTAACTATATGGGACCGGAGAGAGCATCTGCTTTCAGTTATTAGTTCAGCTTGAGTTCGGAGTCCTGAAATACCTCTTCGCTGTTTAGATACGCTTTGCATTGTTCGTGTTTAACGTTATGAGTAATTTGAAGTGTAACTACAGAGTGTATTCTGTTATACTGTGAAGAGAGGTACGATTGTTTTTGTGGAATGTTCCAGAACTGTGAAATGTTACTTTGGGTAAAATAAATTTTATCAAGCTATCGTCAATCTTGCGTGCATTCAATCTAACCTGCATCGAACCTGTATGCACGATGCAATATATATTTACTAAATAAATATTGATTATATTATCTCCTAATATAAATTTAGTAGAATGTATCAAAAAAGACGGAACCCATATGTAGGAAGTTTAATTCCGAAAATTGTGTTTTAAAGTAACTTGAATGTAAATCACGAAAAAAAAAAAAAAAAGTTTTTAAGGCGACTTGAGTTTAAATCATAAATAACAAAATTTCAAACTTTGAAAAATAAAATAAAAATGAAGAAACAAGTAATCATCGCTATTGATCGGAAATTAGTTGACTTTTCAAGGGGAATAAACCAACTCGCGTTCAATGAACAGTAATTAATAAATGCGAAGGTGTTTCGTCTTTTACTCAAGTAAAATGATGATGCCAAACTGGCAAATTAAGTTGGGGCAAAATTGTAGTTCCGTGAAGTGATGCGATTTATAACCAAAGGGAAGTGATGGGATTTATAACCCGTTCAATGAACAATAATGAATAAACACCTTCGCATTTATTGATTATTGTTCATTGAACTGAAGTTGGTTTGTTCCCCTTGAAAAGTCAACTAATTTCCCAAGAATAAAGATAATTACTTGTTTTTTAATCTTTAATCTCTTTTTCAAAGTTTGAAATTTTGTTATTCATGATTTAAATTGAAGTCCCCTTAAAACGTTTTTTTTCATGATTTACATTCATGCTACATTAAAACACAATTTCCGGAATTAAACTTCCTGCATATGGGTTCCCTCTTTTTTGACACATTCTACTAAATGTTTATTAGAAGATAATATAATCGATATTTTTTAGTAAATAAATTCTTATTATCCTACTTTGCAACTATTGCGCAAGTATTAGAAAAACTTGTTTTCAAACTCAGTGAATTTTATATCATTCAATATATATATATTATTTTAAAACATATTTTTCTGATTTCTTCTTCATAAATACATGCAGCTGATTCTCAGGTAATGTTTAAATTTTGCTGAAATTAAGTACATAACAAGAATTTTAATCAGATATTGATTTAAGGTACGGAAGTTTGTAGAATAAGAAATAATATTCCAATAAAATGATCTAGCACAGCTGATGATAATGTGCCAAAAGCTGGTGCGGGTGGAAAAGTTTATTTATTAAAAGCTACACACTTCTGAAAAGCTTTCTCCGTTTCTGAGTATACGTACAAAATACCCCTCAATTGTAGAACTCGATCACTCTTTGATATGATTAAGTAAAGCACAAAAATACTAATAACAGGATGAATCCTTGAGGAAGGTGAATGCTTTCAAAATTACTTTAGCTTGGATGATATTGATTTCCCCTCAGAAACACCACATTTTGTATAGAATTCAGGAATTTTCACATAAGCGAAATGTAAAACTCAAAATTAGAAAAGTCTTTTTATACAATTTTGAAAGTTTTTAAATAAATTGTTAAAAATAAAATTTTCAAGTTTTTCTTTTTTTATATTAAAAGGTAATAAAATAGTTTAGCAGACATAACGACTAATGTTTGAGCCTTTAAAGTTTTTTCACTAACATTTTTGGAAAACATCAAGTAGTGATTGACATATAGCGTAAAGTTTAATTCATTTAACTTTCGAAATTTGGCTGTCTATTAAAGATAATCTGATATGGACAACACGTGACTTCCTTGTATGGCCTATTAAATTATACATATTTTTTGCAGCATTTCATTTAAACTTATATCCTCGAATTTCATTAGTGATATATTTCTTATTCAATTAGTTCAGTGCTCGCTTCTCGGTAAGGCAAAATACATAAACTCAAAACATTTTCATTAAAAGATGTAAAATAGAGAAAAACATAAAACACAAATACAGTTAGAAACAGCTAAAAAAATACAATTAAAATTAGAGTTTCTAGGCAAAAAACAAGCAGTTCGGCCAGCGGCAAAAAGGCAGATTTTTCGGTGCACTGTTTGTCCCACTCGAGAAAAATACATTGAATGTGCAGACACTGATTTAATTCATTATTCTATTGAGTCTCAAATGTAAACAAATGACGGCTGGTTAGGTTTAAACTCGCCACTAAAACTTTTAAATTGTTGATAATTTTACAACTATTGCATGCACATCAATTAAAGACATTAAAACATTAATCTAACATAAAATTCACATAATTGAATCCTTTTTAAAGCAAGAAATGCACAATTTTCCAACATATAAATATAAAAATGTTAAGCTCACCAAGCCAGATAACAGAGTGGGAATATACAGTGGATGGACAAAAATATGTAAACACCTTGTGAAATGCATGTTTGAAAAGAAAGATTGATTTTAATAAAATATGTAGGTGGCGCTGGCGTTTTTGACTACTGACGCTACCTATACAACTTCGTAAATGTGCTAAACAATTCAGTTGTCGGAGTACTGTTATATGAGGTTGTCATTGCAATATGTCAGAGTTAACAGACTTCGAACGTGGGCAAATTGTTGGAGCACGTATGGTAGGTGCTTCCGTAAGCAAGGTGGCCGAGGTGTTTAGTGTTTCAAGAGGTACTGTATCGAAGATTTATTCCGCATATTTGAAAAGCGGAAAAACATCATCTGGAAATCACAGCGCGGACGAAAGTGTGTCCTGAGTGATCGTGACAGACGATCATTAAGGGCAATTGTGACGAAAAATAAAAAGACCACAGCTGCAAAAGTTACTGCTGAAATGAATGTTGTGTTACCGAACCCTGTGAGTACCAAAACAATTAGAAGGGAGCTTCATAAACAGGGAATTGCTGGCCGTGCTGCAATCGAGAAGCCACTCATCAGTGATGCTAATGCCCGTAACAGTAAAAGGTG